CGATAAATATATACGATTTTCGACCACGTGTGGGAGACCTATGAAATCGTGCGTATTTGTTTACGCGGTGCGAACGAGACGCCATCTGCGAAGGCGGGAAATTCGAATCGATGGAAGAACGTCGAATCGACGGATCGTTTTTCCGCGTTCGCGGACGGCGGTTAGCATCGACGTTTCTCACAAAGCCCCCGGGAGTCGTCATCGTCGACGACGGTGCATCGTGGGAGTGATTGCGGAAACGTCTGCCGGCGGTGCCGCCGCGTTACGTGCGTGCATAATGCATATCGCGTGACTCCGTCACGGATCCGGACAGTTACAACGTGTACACGCGTAACAATATCGCGTATCGGGGGGAATCTCTCCTCCCGACGTCTGGCATTTTAATCGAAGCCGCGAGGGAGAAATGGATTGCCGGCGGAACGTATATCTCGCGGCCGGGGCAGCGTAACGAGCCGCATTATAATATAGAGGCTAGCTCGCTTTCGCCATAACCGCCTCGATCCCATGCTTTTTCCCGCCCGCCGTCTACCAAACTTTCCGCCGAGAAACGTTCGAACGTTTGCTCCGCTTACCGCCACTTTCGTTTCGACCAATAGCGTCGACACTAGAGTGGAGGAGGCTCGGGGGACCAATCAGACCTGCGTACCTCTCGCTGGTCAACTTCTCGCGGACGCACAGTAGAATCGCGTAATTTCGTTCGACGTTCTATGGCTTCTCGAAGACTCTAATGCAATTATTCTGTGCATTTAGGCGATAAGTGGATTATTGGGGCCCTCTGCAAGTTTGGAAAGTTGATTTCCATTTACCAGTTTGATAAAAATAGAAGTTAAGATCGAATTCCATTAACGTAACGATACGGGTATTGGTTATAACTGGAATAAAAATTAAATTTGAACGTAAACTTATTTAATCCAGCAACGCGATAGTTTTTCGCGAGTCATTCGCAGGAAGAGCGTCGGATCCCGATCGGCGCCGGATAGCGTTTCCGAGCGTTTCGCCGTTGCACAGTTATTCCATCTCGAATGCGAGCGATCCGCGATTGCGGCATTAATTTATATACTGTTCGGCGCAGAAACGAAGCTTATAATTATATCGTGAACGTTTATCAATGCTTGGGTATCAGGGCATTAGTCGTCTCGCGTGTTAGGCAGCTTTAATTAAGTATCTCGTTAAAGCCCCTCGTGGACGTTAGACCTCCCAAGGTCGTGTGATTTCGCGGGGAAAACGCTCGCGGATTCGATCCCGATTCGGTGGGAGGGGGGAAGAGGTTTCGTCGATCAATCGAAAATTGAGCGAAACGCGATCCGTCCGGGGGCCGCGTGGCGAGCGGAAAAACTTCTCCGAGGCGGGCACGCCCGCTGTTTTACGAGCTGCGGGTTCAGCACGTCGGCCAATTACACCTTCCACGGTTAGGTGGTTCCTCCGTCTTAACGGGCAGTTAGTGCCGACATAAATGTCCCTGCTGCACGCTTTTAATTGCCCGCTTATAGCGCCGCTCGCGATATATCGAGGCGACGCCGACGAAGAAAAGAAAAAATAAATAAAAAACGAGGAAAAGAAAAATAAAAAAAAGAGGCAAGGTCACGAGCGTGTGTGTAAGCTCGCGCGCCGTGTGGTGGACGAAGTAAACGCTTAAACGCGAACGAGGCCGATGATTCTTGTTTCACAAATTGCCCGGGTTCGTGTTATGCGAAAACGCCGTGGTCGAGATTACCCCCGATGATATCTGTATGCACGCGTCAATTATCCGGGCGACGTGAGATTCGACGGTTCGGCAAAAATTGCGAACCTGAAAGTGGTACAGTGGGTCGAATCGATGTCGCTGTCGAAAGTCACCGCCTACCGCTTAATAAGTCACGTTCAAATATATGGGACTCGGAAAATCATGCGCCTGTTCCGTGAGAGTTGCCCGTGTTCTCTGTTTTTTATCCCGTTTTGTTTGAAACCGAAATATGAACGATCGTTTGTCACAGTATTAAATAGTTCGTTTAACGCAACGAGCTGTTGTTTTTAATTAAACCGGGGGATTAATCTTTGAACCCTTAAGGGCACTCTCAATCTCAAGTGAATTATTTTGCTTAATGTTGATTGTTACCAAATTGGTAAATGGCAATCAACGACATATATTAAATAATTGTTAGTTTAAGCTTGCAAAGAGCCGTAGCGGCCCCAATAATCCACTTATGGGTTAAATAGAAGATGATAGCAAACTGGAGGATAGAGGCTGAGAATCGTCGGTTTGAAGTGACCAATAAAAAATGGCGAATCGAGGGTAAAAATCGCGAACGAATTTTCGTCCCGTTTGCCGGGTAAACCGGTTTGGCGGATAGCGATCCCCTGGTTCGGAGCTGGTCGCGCGTTTCGTGGCAGCCGTAGCTCGTGGATCTCGAATAAGGAAAGTTAACTAAGACGTACGCCCCGGGCTCATTAACATCCACCCGGACACGCGTTCGCGCCGTGCCCCGCGAATCCGTTTCCGGGGGCCTGTGGGAGCCGCCTCCAATATATTTTAATTAACGATTACGCCGTAAATATCGTTTATCGGCGTCGTAAGTCACTCCGCCGGGGTTTTTTTCGGGGCCAGGAACGCAGCGCGTGGGTGTGACACGACGCGCGCAACGGGCCCCGTCGAGGCTCAGGTGGCCCGTCGCGGCCCGATAACTCCTCGCCCGAAATAGGAATACTCGAGATTCGGTTATTAATTTCGTTCGGGGGCCCGCGACGGGGCGCAACGACCCCCTCGTGCGTGTCAGCCGGGGTTGGGACCCGGTCGTGGCTCGCCCTTGGGACTCTCCCTTGAGACAATGGCCGCCCGCGGCGTACGATGTCTCCGACGACGTCTCCGGGACCCCCGCGGGGGCCAGGCGGCCACGCATGCCCGCCGTTTTACTACTATAGAGACGTCAGATATCCGTCCCGTCATTTCGTATTCGTGGCCTCGCTTCTCCGGGGCCCGAGGGCCCCCCCTTTGTGCGCGCCGCGACTCGAGTTTTCATCTCCGATGCCGTGAAACGCGACCCGATACCGATCGCGGGATTTTTATCTGGCCAGGGGGACCGTCTCAGGTGTGTTTCCAGAAAACACGACAAGAATTTTTTCTCACGTCCAAGAATTTATTTTTAAGTAACTTGTTCTCTGGGCTAAGTGTGCCCTATTGGGGACTTTCGATCGTTGGAAGGATAGGAAGATATTACCATTTCTAGTAAGCAACGAAGGGGATAGATGCATTTCCATATAGTCTAATAACCTTTAGAAGTCGATAATCTCTCTGTCGAGTAGTGTATAGGTGGTCGCTCGAACGCAGCCCTCTAGTGGCGAGCACCAAGAATCTAAATTTCTTCCGTTTCAAGATCCTGAATTCATATTTCGAAGCTACTCAACTCCTACCCCGTATAATTCAATATTAACGCGTTTACTGTCCGGTCTCTCAATGGAGCATCCAATGGCGTACTGATACGATCCATATACGGATCATACAGAGTGAACATGTTAAGGACATATTATTTCGCGAAGAAAGAAACGTCTGTCGAGAGGATCGGGACTGGTGTCGTCGATTAGAAATTAATCGCGAGGATCGCGACGGACGTAATTTCGGGGGTCGCGTGGTTCGCGTCGATCGCGGTCAATTATACAATCGGTAGCGATGATCGCGGGTAAGGAGGGAACTCTAGCGATATAAATCTGCCGCTTAATTGAGACCTAACCGCGGGCCTCGATCCCGCGATTATACCGTCGTCCTGCATGAGAAGACACGCGCGCTCGGTTTTACCCGATCTCGTACGACACAACGGGCGAGCGGGACCGAGCGAGGCGCATCGCGAACCAGCACGAAAAAGGAACTCGGCCGGATTTATCGTGATGCATCGGGATACTGACAAGAACAGCTGTGCGCTCGTCGTCGGCGTTCTCGCGCAGCGGGAACGGATCCGCCGCGGGAAACAAACGTACGATAACGATCCCTGTGTTTTGCGCGGCGTATGATGTTATTGTCGCGATGGATCGCGATTTTCACCGGAGAACGCGATGCATCCTGATTTATCGCGACCGTACGAGCCGCTCGACCGAGACGGAACGGTCCTCTTGCACGCGCGACCCGAACGGGACGCGATTAACTAACCCCCGTTCCAACAACGATCAATAAGTGCACTACAGGAGCAACGATTTGACAAAAATGATTTTTAAAGAAACAATTCACTCTCAATTTAGTCCCAGTTACAAAATGGTAGGGGAATTCTATCGAAACGGAGGACAAAAAATTGTACGCTGCTTCCCGTATTCGCCACCAGAGGGCTATGCTCTTGACATTCTCGCAAGCGCTCGACCGACCCCTACGATGCTATATAAACACTATAAAGAGGCTTTTGAACCTAACCATGGAATCTAACAAGAAAAAACACTAATTCAACATTCTAAATGCAGATTATAAGCCGAAACCCCAAGTAACTGCACACATGACCCCGTAGAGAAACACAAAAAAATTTCCCAATATTCAGACGTCTAAGACGGGGCCTGATGAAGTCTACTAGCAGGTCTCGATTTCCTGCAACCAGCGAAGTAGCGCCACAGATGTGCAATTAATAATTTCAGGACGAATTCGCGCGAAGGGGGGACAAGTAGTTTCTCGTTTTCGCGATTTCAGGGATCGCGTGCGCGTTTTTCTCGCGACCGAGTTGCAGGAAGGAGTTTCAGCGATAAATTGCAACCGAGGGGGGACGTCGAACGGGCCCCCTCGCCCCGAGGATCGGTTATTACCAAGTAATTAGCCCGGTCGTTCGGCGCCATTTTCCTGCATCGTGGCTAGTTACGCGCGACCCGAGGATTCAATAAGTAGTCGTCTTCACGCGATGCCATCGGGGAGGGCATACGTTTGACCGTTCGGACGACGATTATCGGATTCGTGCGAGTAAACGTTCGCCCCCTTCCCTTTCTGGCGGCGAGCAACAACAAAGTGATCTTTCGCTCGACAGCCTCTCGTCTTCGAGGCACGCTCTTTTGCATACCTGAACCGTGTACGCCTGGAAAGCGACGCTTTCGATGGCGCGTCTCGTACGCGACCCCGTTCGAGAAACGTGCAATTACGATCGTAGAAACTCGAATCATACTTACGCCCTGGATTCCGTTCCCCGTGGACGACGTTGGACGATGCGTGAGTTCCGAATGATCGGTCCGGTGGATATGAAACAGAAAGCAATCGCATTGAGAACGTTCGATGATGGATGAATTTTAACCCTTTGCACTCGTATCTATATTTGAGAAGGCATATGCGATCAAAATGAAAACATTTTTATGGGAGCGTATTTGCAATTTAATTTAATCTGCATCTCACTCCCTAAATTTTGATTTTTCAAAATATTTAAAAAATAAATAAAATTAACTTCTACAATAATGCTGTACTACATCAAATATGAGGCTTCAGTAGATTTTTTATTACTAGCCTTTATGAAAGTATGAAATCGCAATCTTGTATTATGATTGTATTTTTTAGTTTTCTTTGACGATTTCTTTTATAAACAAAACATTGTAACAAGGGTCCCTAGTATGAAATACTAATGTAGACATGTGTATAATAATAAAATGTAAGAGTGCAAAGGGTTTGAACGTTGCACTTGTTGTTTACAATTTGCATAAAAACGAAGTCTTTTTGATTCCTGCACACGACCAATCGAACGAACGTTCGCGGTGCAGCCCGGCAATGAGCGAAACGCGATACGCGCGAGACTTTTTTCAGGCTCGGAATCGGGCCCACCGGGCCCACGCGACGGGAATGAAACCCGTTCGCGCTAAGGCTGAATTCACACTATCGTCGACTGTTCACAGAAACGTTCTTTTCTACATCGAATCAATTAAACCGGATCGAACGTTCTCGCGTGTCTTTCTTATCGAAACTATCAGTTTTCCAAAGGACGTTAAATAATTATAGTCTGAAAGGAACGCGAGAAAGAGCCTCGCGGACAGTGTGAATCGAGCCTAACCGCCGTCGCGACTCAGATTCTTCTTCTCCGGTCCGCAGCCACTACTTTGCAACATTTCGTGATACGTAATAACCCATACTCACGGACGTCGGATCCTGAGGAGGCGACGGCCAGGGCAGCGCATGAAACAGAAAATACCGGGATACCAGTTAAACGCGTTGCTGGGAGAAGAATTCTCGGGGCAGCTACGCGGAACGTTTAATTTTCAATTTCGCGGGCCGTCGATCGGCTTATTTTCGCTCTTATTATCGTACGCGGGACGCGACTGATTAGGATTCGCTCCAGTTCGTAGGCAGGTGAGTACACGGAAGATACGAGGGGGGAGGGGGAGGGTAAGGGCTAGGAACATTATGCAGGAATAATGATTGGATTGTAATCGTCGACGGGGACGGAGAGCTCGCCCGCTTTTGCCCCCGTGCTACGTGCATAATGACCCCGGCCGGTTTCAAAGTATAAAGACGTTCAGTCCGTCGACAATTTGTTATGCATACCTCGCTTGGACGAAAATTGCGTTTAATTCGCCGGTACTTACGCGTCCTCCGACCGCCTGGCCCCCTGGTACCGGGTGAGGGGCGGCTGCATAAATGTAGATGTTCCATTTAAAAAGCCATTTTCGCGTGTTTAGCATAATACGTAATCGCGCGAATCGGTCGGTCCTCGAATTATTCGCGGATCGTCGCCGCAGAGGGCGGCCGTACCGCGTCGTCGAGTCGTTAACCGTCCAACGATCGCCTCCGCCCGGTGCAAAAAGCCCTGTTCGGGATCGATTCCGTCGCGTTCTCGGAACAATTTGTACCCCTCGTCGAAACGAAAGAAAAAAATAATCCCTCCCCGAGAAATTATTAAACCACGATGTCGCTCGACGATGGGAGACCCGTGTTCGTGACGACTCCTTGGGCCTCCTCTTCGTCGACAGCCTTAACGCGTTGATTGCCATACCGAACCCCTCGAATTGTCCATCACGAGGAAACTTTGTTTTTAGACGCTTGGAAACTACTTATTCTCACAACCTCGTTAAAACCCCGGTGTCTTGTTTAGTTTCTTTAACGTACGGTCTTAGGGAACCAATTTTGCTGGCACTTGGGGTTCATTTTACGAATCGTTGCCGTAGATGCTGCGCCTAAACATTGTTTGCAAGTACTATAGACATCTTGTTTCTTTAGATACTTAGGAACGATCGTGTCAACTCTCGACCACTGTAAATATTCAGTTGATCTATTCATTTTGTTGGCAGCTGGAGTTCATTTTACGAATCATTACCTCAGATGCTGCGCCCACACACTGTAGATATCTTGTTCCCTTTACATACTTATGAACGATCGTGCCAATCGTCGACCACTGTAAATATTCAGGTGATCTATTAATTTTGTTGGCACCTGGTGTTCATTTTACGAATCATTACCGCAGATGCTGCGCCCAAACATTGTTTGCAAACACTATAGACATCTTGTTCCCTTTACATACTTAAATTTATTTAATTTGTAGATAATTGAACAAGAGTACTACAAGTATAACGAGATCTATAATGGACGATTTTCCCCAATCGTCAGAACGCGTTAATAAAGTTCGAACTCCAAATATCACGGAAGTACAATTATTAGTAACTGTATTCGTATATCGAGTACCTTTATACGAATTGTTTCTAAAGCCTCAAAATGGCCAAGCGATCGTCGGTTTTCCGAGGGGGAGGGTGAATGAATTGACCGCCTCGGGCGACTCCTGTTCCGTTTAAATATTCCGTCGCGCGGAAACCGGAGATTTCCCGTTCCGTGGCGCGTTTTCAATCAGTCCGCGGGTAAACAGCCATTCCGTTTCGCGCGTAACTCGCGCTGGCTCCAATCCCTTTTGCTCCTGGCCGGACAGTTTTACCGCCTTTCGACAATTCCGCTTGCCAGGCCGGGCGATGTACGCGCGCCCGGGGAAAAAATCGCTGTTCGAGCGAACACGAGATCCTCGCCGCGAGCTGAGAGCCGCGAATTTTATTGCCGACCCGGTACACCACCCACCCGGGCCAGTTATTTTGTTGTTCTTCCTATTTTTTTTTTTAGCGTTGCGCTTTTTTCGAATGTTTGTCCGTTATTACTTTGTTCACTGAAAATTGAATTTCATTTCAAGATTTCGATCATCGTTTCAGTTGTCTTCAGCTTGAAAAATATAAAAATTGCGCGACATGGACAAAATGGAAACTTCGATCCCACATGAAGGATGATATTGCCTTTGATTTAATAAAATTGATATTTGCATTATTTATCAAACGATAAATTTAAGCTTCCATTTAGTCTTGCGCTTCAAGTTCTCTTAGTCCTATCATTCTTCGCACCCGGAGGGTTCGTCCGGTAAACAAATAAACGATCGTGGATCGTTCTCCCGCGGCGGCGGTTTCGCAAAAATTCTCTTCAAGCGTTCGCGAGCTGGCCGGGCAGGACGTCAGTCAAAACGCTCGGAGAGAGGAAAGAAAGGGGCGCGTAAATGCCAGCCGGATGCTGGAGATTGCCGGCAACGAGCGTTTGCACGACTTTATAAAGACCGAGAAGGCCGCGCAAAAGGGTAGAGCAAAAAAAGAAAGTCGGAGGCGGACGGAGGAGCTCGCCGCAAGATCGACCTGGCTCCCAGCGGAATTTTAACTTTTAATAATAAAGCGAGGGAGTCCCGAGTTGTTGCGTTACGATACGGGGGGAGTTGGGGGTGGCAGGAGGGGTGGGGGGGATCGGAGGGCGAATTAAAGGCGGCAGGAGGCCTCGGGTTGTCCTCGTTCATCCTGGCCGGGGCAAACCGCAGCACAGGCACCGCCGCCACCGCGTAATTGCCCGACTCTCACTTGCCCCGGTCGTTCGATTGATTATTATTTTTGCGTGGCCTGACCCCCGTGACCCCACCCGTGACTCGATCGACGCGTCGACCGACGAGGGAACCTCGAGGGACTTCCCCAACGCGCGCCAAATATTCACGAATCGCTAATTGGGGACGCGCGACCGTGCACGCGATTTCGCGATCGACGCTGCTCCTCGCGTGTTTGCAGGATACTGCTTTGAATTTTTCGAGTTTCAAAATCTACAATAACGAAATTGCGTGCGAGAGACTTCGTTTTGGAACGTCAGGACACGTTGAAACACGAACTATGTTCGAAGGATACCGAATAAAAATTTACTTCTGGCAATATTCCCTCGTTGTATGAACCAAAGCGCGGTCCGTTTGTTGGAAGGTTTCTGTTGCAATCGTTTTATATCGATGTTGCGGGGAGTTTCGAGCGGAACCGATCGATTATCAGCCACGAAACGATTGCCAGAGAGAATTTCCTAAACTCCGAACCTTAACGAATCTCTCACGCGCGTTATATAGTTGGACATAAGGGTACTGATTCGGTCGGTCGGTGGCTGGGTTATTATCTTTATACACCTCGACCCAGCTGACCTTAATGCACACCGATCGCTGCCTATGGCTGCCGCTCCTTGAATCATGTTATTAAACCGCTCGATCTCATGGACAGAGAACGCGACCTGGGTAACAGAGAAATCTGGCGGGAACGAGTGAGCTTCCCCTCGGAAGATGTTCCAGCCCCTTTCTAGAATTCAAATTTTTATCTAACCATGCAGAATTTGTTTATTTATTATTTATTTCACGGGCAATGGACCCACTCATTTACATGTAGGTAATTGTACATAGTGCTTACGATAGAAGATTACGAGAGATACACTAATTTGATGTATAATCAGATCTTTAGATATGCACATCGAGATGCACAAATAATAATAATAGAATACCGTTTGTACAGCATATTAAATTTTGATCCACAGCCTGTATCTAAGATTAAATCTGACACAAAGTTTTCACCGAAAGTGGAGCTAAATACAGGGTGGTATACGAAATTGTTTCGTGTCGTAACTCCGTTATTAATGCATTTACGAAAAAGTTCCAAAGGAGAAACACGAGTGGCTCGAAGAGCACTACATCTGTAGGATCTTAGATTTTGTTCAAATTCAACAGCGCACGTGCAATTAACGAAAAATGCTTTCCAAAAGTCGTCGCGAATAAATCGAGGAGAAACATCGCTTCGCGGATCGAGATAAGGGGGTGGAAAGAGTCCCGGGACGCGAGGCTCGTGAATAAGCTGATAAGACGAAAGCTCCCGGAAGTGGCAATAATCGAGCAAGCGGCCACGAACGGCACACGCCTTCTCTTTTTATCCGGGGGGGCCAGAACAAGAGGGTAATTCGATTCACGAGGGAGGACTCGGAGTAACGAGCAGGAAAACCTGGGTAGCGTCGCGAGGAGAAACACGGCCGGGTCGTATAAATAAAAACTGAACAGGACGAGAGTGGTCGCGCGGAATTCCAGTCCCCTGGAGAACTTACTCTCCGGAGCCGGATGATAATTGCGTTTTCGACGCCCGTTAGAACCGCGGAAATTTCTCCCGAGACCCTCGTTGAGAGAACGGAACAATTTTCAGCTGCTTCGGCAAACATTAAACCAAAGGAAAATATGATAGTTTCGGTTGTCTGGATTATTAAAAATAAGGTGCACAGGTGTTTGTCAAAGATTCTGTTTCAAAACTTCAAAAAGTACTAAACAACTTCTCTACACAGCGACAATCAAATTGGGAAACAAAATCGAATTTTTAAGAAAAATCGACAGGTGGTAGGTGCCTAAATTTTTGGGCGAAAAAAAAAATTTCAAATCGATCTGGAAAAATTATTTACGATTCCGGGGGGCAATTACAATCATTTTTGGTTAATAGACATAACCCCGAAATCCTACTCAGTTTCGAGAAAAAAATTTGAGTAGGTGACCAAATTTTTCGACTGAAATGAAAAGTTTCAAATCGTTCTAAAAAAATTATTTTTAGTTGTGGAGGTCAATTACAATCATTTTCTGTTATTATACATACCCCCGAAATCCTACCCACTTTTGAGAAAAAAATTCGAGTAGGTGCCTAAATTTTTCGACGAAAATGAAAAGTTTCAAATCGTTCTAAAAAAATTATTTTTAGCTGTGGGGGTCAATTACAATCATTTTCTGTCATTATACATACCCCCGAAATCCTACCCAATTTTGAGAAAAAAATTCGAGTAGATGTCTAAATTTTTCGACTGAAATG